TTTCTGGGAGGAGCAGCTGCCTCTGCAGAGACTATGAAGTTGCATCATTTTTTTCTACTTGTTTGAATCTAGGTTATTTAATAATTAATAGCAAGGATAAAACTTTTGGCACTATCCTTCCTGTCTGTGAAAAGGCATCTGTCCCTTCCAGGCCAAATTGTCAGATTCAGGAATGCTGACTATCTCCCCACACTTCATGCCAGGGGAAATGTCCAGATGCCACTTCAGACATCCCACTGTCTTCCCTTTGCCCAGATAGAGACTTTAAAATCATACCTGTGACAGCCTGTGTGCATCTTCCAGGAGCTGGGGATGAAGACGCTTTTGGTCTTCTGTACAAGGTTGATGAGCTTTGGAACAGGACCTGATCATCCTCAGAAAAAGGGCCATCTTGTTTGCAGATAAGCTATACTTATCAGTGGTCTAGGATATGGCAACCAGGGTTGCTGTCCAGCTAACCATATGAGTCAGCCTTAAAAGAACCCTCGAAAGGGGCTGGCAATGTGCTCCATGGGTAACCACACTTGCTCTGTAAACATAAAGACTGGATGAGTTCCATAGCACCCAGGTTAAAAGCTGAACCTGCCCATGTCCCCAGACTTAGGCTTAGAGGCAGTGGATCCCAAGAGCTCACTGGCCAGCCACCTTGCCTAGACAAAAGGGGCACATTCCAGGTCAGTGAGAGGCCTTGCCTCAAAGCAGTAAGGTGGATAACCTTAGATAAAGATCCCTGTATCCTTTCCTGGCCTAGAGAAATCTGATTTAGTGATAGGCTTAGTAGCAAGTACCCATGAGCCCACAGACATTTACCACACTACCCCCCCCCCTCCTCTGTAAACCTGGGAAAGAGATGAAATAGACAAGTACCTTAGAGATAGCTGGTGAATATATTTAACCTCTAAGCAAATGAATTCCCAGCCATAAACATCAGGCAGTAGAAGTCACCTCTCAGAGAGTCTGGTTGGAAGAGCACTATTTTTGGCAAAGAAAATAAAAATAGATCCTTTTTTTAAAAAAATGTATTTTAATTCAACTCCACTAATTAGTCCCTGCCCAGGGTCAGGTGTCTCACTAGGTGCTGTGGGTAAAATGTTAAGTATGACTTGGCCTGCCTTAGGGGTTTCTGCAGGGAAAACCCATATGTAAATAGGGAAAAGGATCTGCCAGGGAATTAAAATGGGTATGATAAGATCGTGAAGGGGGAGTAATTAATTTACTCCTGATGAGTGGGACTGGAAGAAGTCACTTTTAAACTATGCAGAAGAGATATGGGAAAAGGCAACTTTCAGAAGGGCTGCACCATATGCAATTACTAATATTTAATTCTGTCAGAGGTAGAAAGGCCAATTCTATCTGATTTAACTCGACCCTGAGGGCAAGGAGGGCATAGAGTTCTTACCTCCCTACCAACTCACTTCAAGTGGCAGCAGTTGCCAGTAGTCATGCTGAGAACGATTCTGCACATTCCAGGACACTGCAGACTAATAGGTGGTATTAAAACTGATTAGTGAGGTCTGCCCTGGCTGGAGAGTCAGTAGGACTCTAACTCACCCTTCTTGTCATTCTTCACTTATAAAGAGATTTTAAGCCAAGAAACAGATGTGTAAGAGTAGATATGCCCACCCTGTGCAAGTGAAGCTCTTTCAAAGATGTCCTGTGGTCTTTGTTAGGGGTTGGAGAAGACAGAATTCAAGGTATTCTTTGAGAAGCTATGCTGTGTTGGGAAGGACTTCCAACGATTTTCTAAACAGTCTTTATAGGGTCAGTTGTACCCTCTAAGCTACTTGACCTACTTTTTAAAACAAATCTGCAGTAAGCAGCCCTCTCCCTGAGATGCGTGGGTGCTGCCCTGTTCCTTTGTGTTGTGGTGTTTTTATTGAATTCGAGGCTTTCCTCTAAACAAAGGTTGCAAAGTGGGAAAATAACTCACTATAAGCACATTACAAATTCAATTAGAGGATGTTTTTAGGTAAAGCCAAAGTCTTATGACCAAGCATAGATTTTGTTTTACAAAAGGTTAAAATCATTGTGTTAAGATAGTTTTGTTTTGCTTTACAACTAAAGAAGCATCCAAAGACATGATTCTAGGCTGGCTTTTTAGAATCCACAGTCCAAGAAAAATAAGACAGCCTCATTAACCCTGCCAGGGTTCAGCTTTCTACTCAGAATCTGTGTTGGGTCCCAGTAGAATTCTACACATTGGTCTAGGAATATTGAAACTTGACCCAGGGGTTTTAACAACAGATCCTGAAACATCCTTTAGCTGTGATTTTGGCTAAAATTAGATGGTTTTCCTATTTTGAAATTCTGTCCCACCCTTCACCAGGAAACTGAAGGTCTTGTTTTAAAGGTTAATTTTTAATAAAGGATACACAGGAGAGAGTGAGAGAGACTGTCTCAAAATCCACCCACCAGGGCCTTCATGTTAGAGATTCAGAGTCATAGGCTTTTCTGTGTCCTTTAGTAATCTACTTTCCTCTCTAAGATTTTGAGCAATGAACAAATTCAGATGAGATACCCACCCATGGCAAGGTCATGCATCAATGCTTTTCAGAGGGCTCGCTGCTAAAACAACTGCCTGTCCTGGTTGGTAGCTTATCACCAATGACTAATTTTAGAACTCTTCCATCCTCACCGGTAGGGATTTGCTCTTAATTCCCTTGTCAGTTACCTGTTGTAACCAGAAATGTTTATGGAGGGCCAGTTAGATGCTGGCATATCTCTTTTACAATGACAGAGTGAAGTAGAAAGGAGAGAACCATCAATTCAGCAAAAGTTGATCAAGGGTCTAGCCAAGTTCTTAGTGCACTGACTACCAAGCCATGCCAATTGGTTACATTTTTATGCCTGGACTATTTTGATTGCAATGGAGGAAGAGAATGCATGGCTCCTCTCCAGGTCCAAGCATAAGACAAGTGTGATACTGTCAAGCAACTATTTCTCATATGACAGAAATAGCATTAGTAAACATGGTGACTGGAAGAAGAGAAGGGTTTGAGAATTTAATGAAATCTTTGTTTTGTGGGGACTGGGGAGATAGCTCAGCTTATAAAATACATGCCAAAAAAACATGAGGGCCTTACTTCAGATACCTGGGACCCACATAAAAAGTTCAGTGGCCTGCCAGTCAGCCTACCTGAATTGGTGGTCTCAGGTTTTAAGAGAGACCTCATCTCAAATATAAGATGGAGATTAATAGAAGATACTCAATGTTGATTGATGGTGTGTGGAAATACACACACACACACACACACACACACACACACACACACACACACACA